AAGTAGTGATTATTCGTGTTTTTAGTAAAATGTAAATATAAAAAAAAAAATTTGTTTAGGTGACTTACAGATTGCTTATTAAATAAAATTTTATTTATATTTGAATATGTCTAAAGCTATATATATTAAAGTTACTTTTTTAATATAAATAGAATTATTTTTTTAATATAGTAATAGTTAGTAGTTTATATAAATATTAATAAGATAATTTATATAGCATATAAATTATTTTCAAATTTATATCAAATATATATAAGCTTTAAATAATCCTATATTTAGTAAATATAATATTTAATATAGTTTGATCTTTTTATAATTATATTTTATATAATTACTAGCTCTTTAACTTTTGTGATATTTTTAGAACAAAATTGTAGCAATTTGTTTAGTCAAATAAATAATTATAAATAGATATCGTGAAGAAGCAAGTATTTGCTAATTATTTATCTAATTAAACTAGTTTTATAAATTTTTTGTTATTTTGACTAATCTAAAAAAAAGCAAATATTATATATATTTGTATTTTAATATATTAACTAGAGGTTTCAAATACAGGCAGTTTTACCATCCGGTTTACTTTGCAGAGGTTAATAAGATTTTTATTATTCACATGAATTACAGATGATTTAACTATATATAATATAATGATTGACAGATTAATTTGGAGTATAAAAGAAAATTTTATTTCTTTTTAAATAAATCTTTAATAAAAAAAAAGAAAATAGAAATATAAATGAGTAGAAAGTATCAAGAATAGTAGTTATATTTTTTTGGAAGTTTGTATTTTTTAAATTTTGTAGTTTTATAGTATTTTGAATATGGTGGGTTTAGTTAATTTATTATATTAGTCTGTTTAGTGGTAATAGTTTATGGGCTTTAGTTTTAATCATTTGTATTCTTCGATCATAGATTAATCTGTGAAAAAGGCAGTGTTGCTCAATAATTATATTTTTACATTATTCTAATTAGTATAGCGATTTAGTACTATATATACTTGGTCAGGTGTGAATATTTGATTATCTAAATTTAATGATACATCAGGGAGTATAAGTTCTTGTGTTTTGTAAACTGTTAATGCAAATATATTTTGTATCAGGAACTGGATTCGGTTAGCAAGTATATCATTTATATCAAAATAATTAGTAAATTTAGAAAAGAAAATATTTATAATAGCTCTTTCTATACAAAAGCTTATAGACAAGATTTAGTTCAAAATCAAGATCGATTATGATAACTATAATACCATTTGCTATTCGGTATTGATGTTGTGAGTTAGTGAAAAATATGACTTATATGCCAGGTTGAATTCTAATTGTTTCTGGTAAGTTGGTTTTATTTTTAAATTCGTGAAGTATTAATCTGTTATTACATATTTAATTATTAATAATATCAATACTATTAGAAATCATGAATTTGTTTTCTTGAGTAGAAATCATAGTATACATTAGTCTATTAATTAGATTCATGTTTGCTCTGTAGCCTATTATGTGTGTAGTATTAAGAGTAATATTTAATTTAAATAAGTTAGTCGTTTTAGGATTTTTTAGAATAATATTTGCCATATTGTGCTATCGATTTCACCTATTTTTATTTTTATAGAAGGTTATAAAATTGGATATCTTGATTCTGTCTTTGGGGTTCACGAAGAAATAAAAAGTAAAATATTTTCTATATCAGAAATTGATAGACAGAAAAACTAGAAATTGGAGGTAATTGGGCCAGATCATTAACTAAAATTATGTTGATGCTTCTGAACAGAGTATTATTTTTGTGTAGTAATTTGAAAAGTTCAGAGATATATATTAGGAGTTGACTTGATATTATAAAAATTTCATTGATAATAAGGGTGTCTATTTGGAGAAGAAAATTGTTCAACTCGTGATCATGAAACAAAAGAGTTCGAAATCCCTATTTGTCAGAGATGATTCATAATGCAGAGTAAATAGTCGATCTGTTAATATTTTGTGCAGTGATCCTAGTTGGGGCTAATAGTAAGTAGTTATGATTAATTCTTCAAAAATCTTCTAGTAATAAATATATTATATAGAATTTACCAGTGTTGGCTATATTAGCAAAATTTAAAAGATACTATATATTGATAATAATTCTCTAGATTACAATTGATATACAACCCCTACCGATTATTATCATTAATGATTATTAACGATATATAACAAAAAATTTGTTAAATTTTTTTAAACTTCAATATTAATTTTTTCAAAAACTATTAATCCAAATTGGCTCAAATTTTTACTATATATAGTATATATATTCAACTATAATATAGTAAAATTTTAGCTAATTTGAATTAATAGTTCTTAAGAAATCGTTTATTAATAATAGTTAATTTTTTTAAAAAAATTAATTATCATTAACAAATAATTTTTCAAAAACTACTAATTCAAATTAGCTAAAATTTTATTATATTATAGTTGAATATATATGTCATATCCCAAATGACAATTTTTCTAGATGACAATCTGGCCAAAATTATAAATTAATTAGCCCAGACGTTAAGGTTAGATTTGGGCAATTTTAATTTAAGCTGTTCCAATTGGCAATTGGGACAGGATTATCATTTGGGGTACAACATATATACTATATGTGGTAAAATTTGAACTAATTTGGATCAATAGTTATTAAAAAAATTAATGTTAAAGTTTAAAAAAATTGGTTGAATTTTATAAAATCATTATTAATTATTACGGCTGATGCTGACTTTTGGCTGATGTTGAATCTAAAAAATCCAATTGGCTAAATTTTGCAGATCACCCTAACTTTAACCAATCAGATTAATTAAATTCAGCATCAGCCAAAATTCAGCATCAGCCGTCATATTAATTAGTAGTGATTATTACATTATATATCAATAATCATTACTTATTATTAGTGATATACAGTATATTGATATATAGCAGTTAATCGATATATATCAATCATTTTTAATCAATATATATCGATTAACTGCTATATATCGATATATATTTGCTTAAAAATTTTGTTGATATAGACTTGTGATAAAAAAAAAGTAATAATATAAACTATTTTGTGGGCCAGATACAGTCACACCCTCCTAAGTGCATACCCTGGGGACCAGGCATGGGTGTGCACTTAGAGAGGGTGTGCACTTATAGAATTGTAGTTGTGAAATAACATACAGAAGTATTATTTCGAGTTTCAGCCCGAATTAAACTTAATTTAGGCCGAAATTAAAAATTACACCCTGCGCGACTATTCAGATAAGTAATCAATGAAAGCGAAGTCAAACACATGACCGACAACTTAAATATTTAATCGTAGCTTAATGAGAATTAACTGTGAGAATTTTTTTTTATATGTAATAAAGAATCATTTACTAATCCGGTGAAATTTATTTCATATCAAATTTGGCCAATTAACATGCTACTTACAAGTATTGATTCAAAATGTTAAAATTACCTTTCACTAACTCATCTAATTCGTATCATTACTTATCATTATAGGCATCGATTACATCAATACAAAATTTTAAAACCAAAATCATATCCCATTCTATTTCAATTCTAGTTCAGTTCTAGGTTTGAGTCTAGACTTGAATTAAAGCCTCATGTCAAGTTTCAAAAAACATACCTGTATCTTATTGTTCACAAACATCTCATAAAATGAGAATCTTGTTTATTATCAACTCCTTATAACAACTATTACAAAATAAAAAAATTTGTCTCTAAAAATTCTATAATTATGAAGTGTAGCCTAATAAATCCAATGTCCTTCTTGGAACTTACCTGATTTAATTGATTTAAATTCTTCTTGTCTGTGGATCAAATTAATATTGTATAAAACTAACTAAAATGGCTGTGCCTTATTTGTAAAAACGACACCTGTTAAAACCAAAAAAAAAAAAAAAAAAATTAGAAGTTGCTATTCCTTAAATTTATAAATTAAAATTAAAAAACCTTAAATAACTTATCCTATGCTTAATCGACTTTTTTTTCATTCAAAAAATGCCCAAGAGAACAACCCTTACTGAAGAACAAAAAAGTGAACTTTGTGCCTTCGCTCGTATTAATAAAAAAAATCAATCACAATATGTTGATTGGATTGAAAACAAGTGGGGTCTTAGAGTCGATGAAAGTACAATTTCACATATCTTGAAGACATCTGAGGAACGACTTGACAATGGAATCAGTAATTCTAAAACAAAGCGTCACAGAGCTGTTACCTATCCAGAACTTGATCTCGCCCTTAAAGAGTTCGTGCTGATTTATCAGCATCGAACAGTTTTTACTCGTCGAAAAAGCGAAGGTAATTGCTGATGGTTTGGGAATCTCTCAAGGGACACTAAATTTTTCTCCTGGCTGGCTTTATAAATTCAAGAATCGAAATGGTATTCGTCTACGACAGCTTCAAGGAAAAGCCGCATCCGCTAACATAGTGGCAATTAACAACATCATGCCGTCAATAAAAAATAAATGCGCAAGTTATCCTCCTGAAAGGATCTACAATATGGACGAGACCGGGCTTTTCTATCGGTATAAGTCTCTTATTAGTATAAGTTATATGTCTAAATGAGTGTTGCCAAGGGAAAACCTGTTATCGGGCTTTCAATTATATTTTTCTCTTGGCAGCACAAATAGAAATGGAAATTTTATATTCTACTCAATCTTGATATGAACTTTAATATTAATCCTAACCCAACTTCCCTATTATTAAATTTAAATAAAATTTTTTTATCCGTTTAAATTCTGTTTTTACTTTTTTTTTTTTTTTCAATACAATACTAAAAAATTTACCTTCAGGTTGAAACCTGATCATACATTGGCAACCCAACGTCTTTCTGGATGTAAAAAAAACAAGGAATGTCTCTCGATTGTGTTGTGTGCAAACGCAGATAGCTCTCACAAGATAGATCCTCTTGTAATTAGAAAGTACAAAAAACCGCGCTGCTTTAAAAACATCAGAATTAGTAATTTGCCTATGAAATACAGAAACAGTGCTAAAGCCTAGATGATCATATCTCTTTTTCATGAGTGGATTCTTGAATTTGATCGCCAAGTCAGTTTGAAGTATCAGGGCCAACGTGTGCTTTTGCTCCTTGATAACTGCCCTAGCCATAATATTGGCAATGTTACTCTCCGATTTACTAAAGTTTTATTTTTGACCCCAAACACAACCTCGAGGATTTAGCCCATGAACGCCGGTATCATTATGAGTTTCAAGAGGAATTATCGTCGTCTTCATGTTCGGTAATTTTTCAGTAAAAAAAAAAAAAAAAAAAATCTGAATGTTACACTAATTAGCTTTTTTTTTAAGTTGGATGTTACAAGAAGTTGAAAATAGACAGCGTGCAGAAGATTTAAAAATGAATGTGTTACAAGCTATCTATTTTATCATTCAAGGGTGAGACAAAGTTAAAGCCAACACAATTCACAATTGTTGGTATCAAACAAAGATTTTTTCTGCAGATGCCAACTCTGATTTACGAAGTTCTTTAGAGGATTTTTGCCAAACCACTAACCCTGTTCTCAATGATATTGCCGATGCACTTAATGCTCTTGACCTTCTTGATCCTATACAAGTTGAAGAGTATTTGGCAATCCCTGAAGAAAATATCGTTTATGAAGTTCCCTCCAATGATCAAGTTATTACAGAGCTTGTTGAAACATTCAGAACAAACGAACCAACAAATATTGATTTGGAAGATGAAGACGATAGCTTTGAAGCCCCCATTGTTAGTGCCAACATGGCAATTGCAAGTTTGGAAACCATGCGTACGTTTTTGCTTCAGCAGGATTGTATAGAAGGATATGTTAATCTTGTAAGAAGGATTGAAAAATTTATCAAAAAGACAAAGGTTGGCCAAATACAACAAAGCAGGATTGATCAATTTTTTGTGGAAGACAATTAAACAGATTATATTAAATGTTTCATATAATGTCCTAGAATTTTTTTTTTTCGCTTGTTATAAAAAAAAAAAAAATTCTAATTTTATAAATTTCATTTTTTTTTTTACGCTTGTAATATCGATATGGTAAATAAAAATTTGGATACTGTATTGGGTATGTGCTGTACGTACGTACGTACGTACAGTACAATTACAAAATGACTTCATATCTCGCACTAAATAAAATTTTATTTTTATGAAGTCGTCTTACATCCTGTGCGAAATAATTTTTAGTAAGAGCAAATGACACATAACACCTATTTCTTAATAAAAAAAAAATGAAGACAAACAAAATTAAGTCGAAACCACAAGCATACTTAAAAATGACAAAAATGTCGTTTCAATTATAAAGTCGTTTTAATTAACTAGTCACACTAAACCGGATAACTGGGCGCAAAAAATCGCTATTTAATGATGGCACGATGACAACTAACCTTTCTATATAAAAAACTTTTTTTATTGGTCCGTTTTAAGATTATTCACGTGCGTGCATTTATAGGGGCGCATATATATGTTTCGAGCTCTGAAATTTGTTGCACATGCAGAATATAGAAGGCGCTTAAGTCCCAAGCTTGGGACCAGGCTATGGTGTGCATATAGAGAGGGTGTGCACTTAGGGAGTGTGCACTTAGGGAGGTGTAACTGTAATTAGCTATTGTTTGTCAGCAGTGATATTGACTTGGTAGTAGATTAATAATCGAGTTAGTGGTCATGATTCGTGGAAATATTTTTATAGAATTTAGTTGGATTTTTATTATATTAATAATATCTGCTATTAAGATTGGATTTAATGATAAAGTTATTGTTTCAATAAAGAAGTTAAATTAATTCAAGGCATATATTGTTTGTCTTAATATAAGTTTATAATTTTGTTTGCAGGCAGATTGATATGTATTTAAAAAATGAGCTAAGAAATGATCTTGATAATTCTGGTAACCATTTAGTAATTCATTTT